AGGAAAGGGATGGTAATTATACGTCTGAACTCTTTCTTAGGAAACTGAATTCTGATACACTTTGGAACCTCATTTCTGAAGCCTGAGGATCTTGGGATCCACGGTATGTTTTGAGTTAGGCTAAAATGCAAGTGTTTCGGAATATCAAGGAGTTCTCTTACATGAGCCCTTTTGCTTCAGAGAAATTTTATTACAAGGTTCTAAGGTTCTGAAATGATTTTTATAAATCCATACGGACCAGCAGGTTAGCAAATTGCTAAAGCTAGAAAATTCCTTTGAAAGTTGACCATACGAAGCCTTTCTAACCTCTCCCTTCTTTCAAGAGTGGTCCTCCTTCAACCATCTGCCTCCTATGGGCCATATGGAACAAAAGCCAAAGGGTAATCTGCCTGGTTCCTGCCTTTGATGTCAAACCGGCGTTAATTTAAAGCACTGGAGGAGCCTACCTATTCGCTCAGGCTCCTTACGAAAGAGCACGAAGATTCGCTGAACCCCAAGTGGTAGCTTGGGACCCCGAAAATATGTGGGGCCTTCTGCGCCGGCATCGGTAAGTCAGGACCCGCGGTCACCTGTACTGGGAGCCTACAGGTGGGCTCAGGCTCCAACTGCCCCCGCCATCGGTACCCGGCGTTAAGACTAGGCCGGAAGCGCGCAGCAGCCCGGCGGCGGGCACCCTCTCGGCCAGGCCGGCCCAGTCCAGCCCTCCCGATCGCAGGGACGCCCGCGGCCTCCCGCTCCCCATCCCTCAGTCCTCACCAGCAGCGCTCGGGAACGTGAGCGCGAGCAGGCGGGCACGTCTCCACGCGAGGCCCGAACAGCCAAGAAACCTCTCCAAGAGGCCCCCTCCTCACTCCGGGCTCCCCGGCTGCTCCAAGGCGCTAACCCGGCCGCCTCCGGCGCCTTCCCGCGTCACGTGGCTCCGCGCCGGGTGACGCCGCGTCCGGGATTCCCAGGCGGCAGCGCGGCCTCCCGAGCGGGTTTGTAACTACCACGGCGGCCATGTTTGTTGTGGGCAACTGGCTCTACGCCGGGATCCCACCTGGTCGAGCCCTGAGGCACGCAGCAACCCAGCACTGGGAAAGGCGCCAAAGCCGGGCTAACTGAGCTCGCGCAGCTCCATCAGGAGTCTCTCTTTGCTACGCTCTCCTTTAACCCCTAGTGAGAAAATGAGCTATGAGTTGGTGTATTTTGAAGAAAACCTCCAAGTGGCACCCAGCTATTTGGCTCTGGCAATTACACTGTTTAGCCACCAAACTCAAACTGCTACCTAAATGTCACACAGCTTGTCCAAGATTAAGCAGCTAGTAAGCACATCCTTCCTGACTCTCCAAAGAAAGTGAGATACTACTGCCTTTCTGAAGTTCACACAGAATCAGGTGGATTCTGAGGAGTTGGCTAATTCAGATCAGCCAAAATCACGAAGGTAAGAGTACAGGTTTTGAAAAGTAAAATTAAAAACCTGAAGTTATCTAAGTATGTCTTTTTTCTTCGCCAGACTTACTTAAACAAGAAAATCTGAAAAGGGAATAAACCTACAAAGATAAAAAGATGTTGTCAACACATTTTTGGAAGAGCAGCAATACTGATCTAGTCTTCACTATATGGGCAACATTTATCCACTGCTTTATTCATCCCATTCAACCCTTTTAAAAACTTAAATTCACCTCAGAGAAGTTATTCTGAATCCCAGATAGCCTCCCTACAGATGGGTAAGTTAGAGAAAGGTATACTGCCTGCAAGAACAAAAGTAAATTCATTCACAGAGCACCTCAGAAAGGTTTGGAACTTCAAGATACCTGAAAGGTGAAAGGGAGATCAATGAAGCAAAATTAAATTGAGGACCCTCCCTGGTGACACAGCAGGTTAAAGCCAACACTAAGAAGCTGAAAGCATGAGTTCGATCCCCACCTGCCTGCCTGCCTGCCCCGGAGGAGGTCCACATGGAGTGACAGACCTCTCCCGACCGGCCTGCTGCTCCCCTCAGCAGTGTACTTCATCAGTCTGCCTGTTCATCAGTCTGCCTGTTCTGCTTCCCACTGTCTCAGGTGAAGCCTCTCACGGCTCCTGCAACTCTAGCCTGTACCCCAGTTCTGTATGCACAAATAAATACATCTTAAAAAAAAATAGGATTGCTGAAAAGTTTAAGTAACAAACACCCAAGCCCTCTCCTTTCTTGTGCAACTGGGCCCCTACCTATTCTTCTCCAGGTGGAGACCAGTTTCTGATGGTGGAAGAGAAGCAATCTGAAGGGTTCTAGGTATAAGGGCTAATAAAGGTTAGGAAGCAGTACAAGAGTAAGTTTTCCTATGAATGGAGAAATGTTGTCAGTCTGTTTTCTACCTCCCCAAAGCCTCTCATTCTCTCTTCAAAACCTTATTTTTTTCTGGAGAGATTCAGCAAACGAAAGGTATTAGAAAAGTAGTTCATAGATACTAATATATGGCATCCTAACTAGGTTTGTGACTTATAAGCACATTCCAAAACACTTTTGTTTGGAATTTGAAGGAAAGAGAGTGGTTTTTAACAATATTCTATAACACCTTCAGATCGAAAGATAATTCAATCATGAAACAAGCAGATTTCTTTTAAAGGGCAATATAGGAAGTTCTTCAGAATTAAAAATGGTAACCCACACATTGAAACATCACTTAAAAAAAGTATAAAAAATGGGTAGAAATCCACTAATATGTAGAATAAAGGTGAAGAATAAAGCAAAATCATAAGGGCCCAGTATCTAATTGGGTCCAAAATGCAATTAATAGCTTAAAAAAGATAAGAAATATATTAAAGAATAGAAAGTTTGCCAAAACCAAAACAAACAAACAAAAAATCTGTATTGAAATGGCCTATTGAGTGCTCAGCACAATGAAAAGTTAGGAAACTCACACAAAGGCACACCAGTATTAAGTTTCAGAGCACTGTGGATTAAAACAAACAAAACCCCGCAACAGTTAGTTAGAGTCAAAGTTATAAATGAAATGTTAGACATCCTATGCAACAGCAATAGGCTTCTAATCAGCAACCTAGAAGGGACTCTAGAATTCTAGAATCTAGAAGGGACTCATGCTCTCTAAATACGGTGATAACTGTAATGCAGAATTTTTAGTCAATGAGAAAGAATAAACATACAACACACCTGAATTAAAAAAAAAAAAAAGGTTCCAACTGAGATCTTTACAAGTAAGTGTGTGTGGGATTGGAGGGCTAATATCATATACTATGAAGAAATTAGTATGCAGAAGGTTTTATAGTCTTAGGTGGGACTATGTAAAAAATTAGTGGCAGATACACAGAAAACAAAGCAAACAAAAAAATGAGATAGTATCATCTGGAGGGAAGTTATCATAGTATACTCACATGGCCATAATAAAACCTTTTGAGCTAAATCTTGTGATCTAATTAAATTGAGGCAGAGGGAGAAGAGAATTCTAAATTCTCATCTTGTGGAATATTGTTATATTGTGACTAAACATTTTAAGAATTCAGAATAGTGTAAGACTACTATTTTGAAATAAGAAGCACTTGGTAAGATACCTAAAAGAGCTAAAAGCAGTGAAAATCAGGCACATGGCTTTTGACAAAATGTTACCTAATTTCTAAAATATAAGCATGCTTGTTAGGAAGCTATCACTTTACTTGACAGTCAGGTATTGCTGGTCCTATGTCTTTGAGAATAGGCAAAGGAAGAAAGAACTCTGAATTGATGGAACCCTGAGCCTATGTGACAGTACAGAACATTGGTTTTCAGAAAATTGTGACTTTAAATGAAAGGAGCTACTAACAATTCCTTCATGTTCTTCGAAAATTCAGTGGGTGTAAGTTTGCATTTTCTTACGGTAGGAGCTCAGAGCCTGCCTTTAAGAGCAGACCAAGAGTTGATGTTTTTGTACCATGGCCAGAACTAAGTAACAGATGAAACTCCTTTGATCACCCTTATAGGTAAATGTGCCCAAAGAGCTACCACTAGATAATTAAGGTCAATATTAGTCTTCTTTCTTACTCTCCCTTTCCTCAACATTCTCCTACCCCTACATGTCAATTTTGATCATTTCCATGTTTCATTGCTAGTATGAATCCATGGTTTAGTAAAGAACTGGAAAATAGAAATAACAAGTAGAGGGAAAACTTTTAAGGATGAGGAGATAGAAACAGCAACAAGAATAGATAACGATTATGAACATTAAGGACATTTTGAGCTTAAGATTAAAAACTAGACTCCCTAGGCTAGAAATGACTTAAAAATGCAACAGGTTGCTAGAACAAAGAATTGAATTTCTCAAAAACTGGGACAGGAGATGATTAATATTAACGTCAATGACAAGTATAAACTTAAAACAAAGGGAACTGTTATAGGCAGCTCCAACTAGAAATGGGCTTTAGACAAGAGACAGAATATACAGAATATGAACATAGATCTACTTCAAGTAATTTTTCCTCCCTGTTTTCAGTAGGCCTTATTAGCATCCAGTTAAGAACCTGGACGATACTTTTCACATTTGTCTCAAATACTGACCTACTTAAACAGAAAGTAAGGTTGAATCTCCCATCTCTCAAGTTTCTGTCATCTATAACAACAAATGGGTGTTATATTGATGGTGGATAGCTTAATCTAAATCTTACTCAAAATCTTTTCAACTCCATTTAAATCATGGAAATCCCTAGTTATCTATTTGCTGACAAGATGTTCATAATCTCACAATGTCCTGTGAGCCAGCTTAATGTCACAATTCTTTTTAGCCTAAGATACCCTAAAATACAAAGAAATAAAACTAAACACTGTGCCTTTACCTGAAAACAGAGTTCACATGGGCTTTAATCTGCAGTGAAGATTCTTCTTATACCACGATTATGTAAGGGACAGAGAAACTTAAACCCTATGTTTAAGGCGCTTTCAGTATTATTTTATTTCCAGCACTCAGGTTCATCCTTGAGTTAAAATGTCTAGAACTTACGAGGTTCCTCTGAAACACATTTCCTACTTGGAGAAACCAGCAAGAACCAGAAGTCTTTTTTTTTATTTAATTGCATTATGTATCACTTATAGAGGTTCTAGCTTAGCACCTTCACAGTTCCAGTGCAATCACACAGAGCATTGTCGGCTTTTACTAATCTATACCTAACTGTGACTAAAAAATATCTATGCTTCCTATCTTATCTCATGAACCTGAGAGTCTGCAGATTCTCTTAGCTCTAACAGTGATGTTTACTAAAATTGGCATTTTGCGTTACTGAAGCATAGACAATATTTGGTAGTAGACGGTAACAAAACCTGACTTAACCAAGTTGCATAAAGACTAGAATGCTTTCACCATTTTGCTTGGCAATGTAATGTTTAGAAATTAACTGTGATAAAAAGCAGGATATCATTATTGAAAATATTTCTAACTTTCTAAAAAGCAGAAAATTGGATTTAACAGTTTATTATGATTTATAACTATCATTTTAAAAACATCAGTCCATTAAACCATGTAGAAATAAGTATGCAAAAAGTCTGCAAAACAAAACATACTTTAAACATGTTTAAGTAGAGACACTCTCTGAAATTTCAGATTTTTCAGTCACTTCATTATCACGCTATTGCAGCCAAGTAGTCCTTAACTTCAGTTGGAGTCAGTCTCCTAAATCCAGCTTCATTGCAGATTCCCACTTCTATGTTATCTTCTGTCATTTGTCCCTCAAAACTTTCCTATTGAAAAGGAAGATGAAAGGTCAATTTTCTAAGTAATGAATTATAAAATCATAAGTCCAATTGTGGATATTGAGCTAACCTTTAGAGTTAAGATGGCTGTATGAATGGCATCTTCAAGCTCCAAATCTTCATTATATCTAAAGAAATTTTTAAGAAAAAAAATGTTTCTTGTACTATTTACATATCACATCACTATTTAAACAAAGACAGCAAATACATAGGGATTCTTAAAAATACTCTTACAGATTTTTTTAAGTCACCTCAATGAGACAGTGTCTTAATTATTCCTCTTCTAATTATAAATATTTTAATATAATCAGGATGTGATGTTAGTATTTTAATTTTTTTTTAAACAAGCAGAGAAATCAGACCTTTACTAAAATTTTCTAGGTTGATTCGTATTTGAAATGTTTGGAAGGCTCATTAATAATACATAAGGAAGTGTGCTATGATTTATTTAAATTTATCATTTAATCTCAGGTCTTAAGATTTTAGTAACTATAACATTATGTGTAGAATATACTAAGGAAGTCCATCTGTAATTGAAGTCAATTGTAGACTTTCCCATGCACTGGGTAGGCTACAATATAATGCTAAGTCTAGTAATGAGAGCACTTTGTTGTGCAACGACAGTAACAATAGATTTTTATGTAATGTTCCAGCATACAATTCATGTATTTAACTTACTATCAACAGTAGGTATTTGGTATCACAAGTTTTCTTCTGTAATTGCCATAGCATAAATGCCAAAACTGTTTTTTAAATAGTACGACAAAGTAATAAATAAAAACAACATACAGAAAAACAACTACCACAATGTACAGAGAAATCCTTAGGAAATGCGTGCTATAACTAGATTCAAATATAAAACAACATAATCTCTTTAGACACAATATAATTATGTAAAGAGATCTGAAAGTCACAAAGTTTGCTGATGATTGAAATCTAGTTATAGAACCTACCTTTTCTCAAGGAAAGTTTTCCCATTCACATAGTTCTTTCCCATGGCTGTGGCTTTCCAGGCAAAGTAAGCTCCCTGATTAGAAGTTTAGAGGAAAAAAAAACTGTTACTTTATACTATTATATAATTATATCTCCTTGTCATTTCCTGGCTACATAACTTCTAAGATCACAAAATATTTTTTGGAATACAATGGAACATGTACATTAGTAGGTTATTTTTAAAAAGGTCAGAGGAATAAAAAAAAAAAGATATGGAGATTTTTTTGGAGATTATAGCAAAGAAAATATCAGGATTTCTAACTAATAGATGTTTATGTTCCAAGGACAGGCACATTGATTCTAATCACTTCCCCCTTTTCATTTTCTTATGATTCTAGTCAAACATCCCTGTTCTCAGCTAGTGAGCAGGATGATAGTCTGTCAGACTCCAGTCTGCCATCCTCATTTGTCAACAAATAAAACTACTTTCCTTCTCAAAACTGTTCTTATTGGTGAAGGGGAATGGATACTTGGAATACTAGTACCATGTGGGTTATTTATATCCTGCGCAGGTTAAACTCAAAAACACCATATGCTTTAGAAGAGACAACTAACCCATTTCATAACACACTGAATTCAAGACAGTTACATGAATGTTTTTAGACACAGAGTCCATGCAAGTCAGCCCCAAAATTAAACTTATGGCAGGGTTCACAATCATCCGTGGAGCCACATCTCACAATACAGTATTTTTCAACGCCAAATAATTACAGACATACAGATCTGATAACTATTTTAACAAGTCATTCAAGCACATAGACTTTGTGAAAAGACAGTGGGACAAAAGAACAGTGGGCACAATTAATGTAGTTTCCTTAATCAGACTGAATTACCAACATTTTAAACAGGCAAATGAATGTGTACTATGCTATACTTTCTAAAGCCCAGTGAGAAAGTGACAGTACTGCTATATTTTAAATTTTATGCCTTTTAAAGACTACTTTAAGAAACCCCTCACATACAGCTTATGGTACTTACAGATGGATCTGACTGAAATAAATAAGGTCGCCCCTCATTCCAACCACAAATAAGCAAAGACACTCCAAAGGGACGAACACCACTGTAGAAAGAAAATAAAGATTAACATCATTATTTGACATGGTTTGAAAGTCAACCTGAAGTAAGAATTTATAAAAACTCTCAAATAAAACAAAATAGCAGGTAAAATGAGTAATTTCAAGTTCCTTAAAAAAATATTTAAAAACTGCAATGACACATAATTCAAAAATAATTTCTTTATGGTACTGAGAAACAACATTCAGATAATTTGGTAAATGGAGAACACAAACAATAGGGTTAATAAATGTGGAATGTCCTAATAAAGTGACCAGCTTTTCCACCAGTTTTACATATCACCAAATACCTTTATGCTACCTCTTCTGTATCCACACCCAAACTCAAGAACACTGGAATTGAAATAAATATAGATGTTTTAAGAGCTACCGCTTTCATCATGTGCTTACTATCATTTCTAGTAGAGAAATATTCTTGGATCTTCAATGACTATGTGCCAAAAAGAAGTGTTTTAGTCTCTGGCAGAAGAATTTCTCTGAGAAGCTGCTGTTTCTTCTGTTATCTGAACAGGAGTAAAACGTTCATGTTTTTTTTCCCTTAAAATATCTAGATCAGGGGGCCCTCCCTGGTGTCACAGTGGGTTCAAGTGCAGCACTAAAAAGCTAAAGCCACTTCAGCATGAGTTTGATCCCGGGTTCCAGAGGTGACCACATGGCATGGGAGGTCTCTCCTGACCTGCTTGCTGCTCCCCTCAGCAGTGTACTTTGTCAGTCAGCCTGTGCTGCTCCCAATTCTGACTCTGGTGAATCCTCTCACCAACCCTGCACCTCTGGCTTGTACCCCAGTTCTATATGCAAAAATAAATCTTAAAAATAAATTATCTAGATCAGGAATATTCACCATAGTGACTCTTTTCTACCTAGGAAATAAGCCAATAGATGAACATAAGTTCTCTTTTAAAAAATATATAATGTCATCTAAAATGATATTTTCCTAATTTGTGACACATTTAAAGTAATAAAATCAGCTTACCCTGACTGGGTGTATTCTTGCATCACAGAAGCTACTCTCTGTACGAGCTGAGCTGTAGGAATGGGTTCTTGGTAAACAAGATAGTACTGCTGAGCCAGTTTCCGGGCTCTATGCACAAGCACCCTAATAAATAAGGAAGAAATTAATACTTAATGAATATTAAACTCTACCACATACGGCTCATACTCTTACAGGCATACAGCACAAGTTTAACATGGATCTCTGTAACAGAAGCTGTCAGTTCAACGCCAGTCTTTAAACAATCTGAGTCCGGTTACTTTAGAAGAAGATATTAAAGCATCACAGAGGAGTTGAGCCACAGGAGATGGACAAGGGTAAAAGAAGAAAATTAGGAACTGGAATACAAGTCAGCTTAGCAGAAACAGATTTTATACACAAGAGCTTTGTCTTCCTTCAGTTTCTTCAAACCATGAAGTGATCCCTTAGTCACTCTGTCATTTTCTATTTCACCCCCCTCAACACACAAAGGTGAACAGACACACATACAAGTTCAGGCATGTTTTTCTCATTCTCATTCTATAGACTGTAAAGAGGGATACCAAGAAACTACTTGCCAATTACAAAATGTAAAGATACTAAGATACTATGTAACAATCAAAGACACTAGCATGACCTTCTCCTATACTATGGATTTGACCTGAAGCTACTGTTTTACTTCTATACAACATTCATGTCTGTCGGTGCTAGGACACTGTAGTATCTCTTTAACACAGCAGTTACTGTATCCACTATAGTGAATTCTGCCACAGTCCAGTAACACTGTTATTTTTTTAACTCTTAATTTAAGTGGAATATTGGTTTTAAGTTATCTTGCTCCACAAAACTGAGAATGAATAACACCCCTTTTATTTGCTGAATGACAAGATTAGACAGTCGTCAATCTCAATTTGCTGGTAGCATGATGTAATAGGATTACTCTTTATTGCTATGAACTATGCAAGTAATGGTAATAGGAGCATCAGGATTGTGAATGTTATACTCAGTGACTTATAGGGGCTTTTGATAATTTTGTCCCTTTGCCAAGAACAGAAATAAATAAACAAGGTTAACTCTGGATGGTGATGCTTTCTTTTGCTGCCTCATCACAGCTTTTTATAACATGTGTTATTTAAATACATTTGGCAGAATTTGACCATTGAACCACCACTGGATGGTGTAAGGTCGATCATGATCAGAAAGGAAAGCTACTAAGCACTTTATTCATTTCTTTTACAACTAGGTCGCCTGGAGTTATCCTGCCTGTCTTGTAAAGCAAACCAAAACCAGCTGCCAATGATACCACTGTTCCTGAACAAAACACAAAAGGGAGTTGAGAAAGAAAAAGAAAAGTATCCCTTTGTTTTCCCCTCAAAGTATATATTGTTAAGTAATTTATGAGATAAAACAACAAATAAATAGTATAAAGTACCTGTAATCTGGGCCCATGCCGCTATACACCAAACCTATGTGCTTGGTAATTGGTTCCACTTTGTGTACACTTCGTTCATCATACAGAATAGATTTCTGTTTCTTCTCAGTTGCTAACACCACACCATTTGCAGCTTTTAAAAAAGAAAAACAGCAATCTAAATGTTTACTTATTAAAAAATTCTGCTCCAACAACTACTACTATGGATGCATTTCACCCAAACTCCTTTGTTTCCTCTTACTTATAAACTTTTCCTGCTGGATTTCTATATCAAAATCACTTAAGCAACAGTAAATCATTTTTTTCCCTCATTAGTCACTTATGTTGCATTAAGAAATCCCTACAGCTAAAAGTATTATGCCCTTTTACTTAAAGGATTCTAGAACATTTAAAGAGTTCATATACTTTAAAATAATAAAGTTTTGCCTACTTGTTCTATTCTTAAAATTTGAAATTTAAAAATAAAAGAACAGTTTTCCAATGGGAAGGATTATTTGTCAGTAATCACAGCAAATTTCTAAAGGTGGGTATATTTAAAAAATGTTGATACTGTTTTAAAACTTCAAGGTAACAAAAATTCACAAAAAAAGAACTGTTGAAAATTATACTGCCATAATTTATTTATAAATTAGTTACCAATTCCAAATGGCCATTAAGATAGTTACTAAAAGACATCAGAAATCAATGAGCATTTAATTACCTTTAATTCCCACTGAAGGGGCTCCTCCAGCTACAGCAGCCAAAGCATATTCAATCTGGACAAGTTTACCAGATGGGCTTAAAAAGAAAAGTTATAGGGAAGATATGTAAGTTAAATCCACTAATGAAACACTGAATGATAGGTGGGCTTTGGAATGTATCATGAAGTTGTAGAGAAAAGATTTTCCTGGGCAATTTGAACATATTCACTGTGCTGTTCACATAATCACCCCATAAAAGTATATACTTTCCACTGCATCTTTCTATGTGAAAGCTCAGGAAATTATCTGATTCTTCAATCATAACACTAACCCTATTCCAAAGCACTAGCGTGTTTTTACCTGAAATAACCTTCTAACTCGTTTTCCTCTTTTTCACTCTTTTGTCCATCCCATAACAGTTACTTTTCTAGCAAGTCATTTCCCAAATCCTGTAACTTCTATGATCATTAAAAATAAAAAGTCCCTACTCTGGCCTATAGGGGCCTATATAATGGCTCAAGACCCTGCTCCCTGCTCACTATACTCTAGTACCATTGTATTACATCAATTCCTTTAAACTCTTTCCCAGGTTCAGACTTACTCCTCCTCCATAATTCTCTTTACCCACCTATCTTCAAAATTGGCTCTTTTTATCTTCCAGTCTCAAAAATCATCCCCTAAGCACAGACCTTTCCTGACCCCGCCCAGTCTAAAAACAATGTTCCTTCTTTCGCCCTCTTTTTATAAAAATTCCTAAATACATGCCCTCCCTGGTGGCGCAGTGGGTTAATGCACAGCACTGAGAATCTAAAGCCGCTTCAGCATGAGTTCGATTCCCGCCTGCCACGGAGGTGACCACATGGCCCAGCAGACCTCTCCTGACCCCGCCCGCTGCTCCCTTCAGCAGTGTACTTCATCGATTTGCCAGTTCTGCAACCCACTCTGTCTCTGGTGAATCCTCTCACCCTCCGCATCTCTGGCCTATACCCCAGTTCTGTATGAATAAATAAATAAATCTTTTTAAAAAAATACCTAAATAAAACCATTTTTCTGAATGTTAGTACATATCAATTATTCATTTATTGTCAAAACCGCAACCAAATGTAATTCACGGTAGTACCTTTTCAACCCATGGTAACCTCTTGTTCACCAATAGTTTAACTACGAATACAACAGAATAGAAACATGTGCTTTTTAATTGAAAAGAAATGAACCATTATGCTTAAAAAGAACAGTTTACTAAATTTACTATAAAGAGTCATTAATTATACATATTGACAGCTGTTTTGTGTCCACAGTATTCTCAAAAATAAAGGCCAGGTTGCTTTATTCATGAACATGAATAGTAACTACCTGTCACATAATGTTCTCTGTCATTTATACATAAGAAAATAGATTGAAATGTTTAAAAATCCTCATTTATTACCGAAAAGGCCAAACGTAAGCAAACTGTTTTAGTATCTCAAAATAAAAACAGAAGGTAACAAAATTATTAATTTTGCTATCAGAAAGAACCCACGTTGAATGTTAACTCGGTTTCTCATCTAAGACTTTAGCCAAGTAATTTTATGTGTGTCCGAATTGTGGGTAAGTCATCTATCAGACTTTGAGATAACATTTATCTTGTTTTCACTCATCAGATCGGGAGGGTAAATTTTAACTAAATTGGCTTTACTATCCCTAAGGATAAGAAACCCGTTAAAAGGAATTCTTCCTGGTCAATCTGTTAAATCCTCTGGCATGGTTTTCTTACACTGAGAATAACGGTTTATCTCAACTGTATTTCAATTCCCCATTCCAACGTTGATTTACTTTTTTTTTTTAAGTAACAATCCCTGTTTTAAGTAACAATCCCTGTTCCTCAAAATGCAATGTGACCTAATAATTTGGGACTCCACAAAACAACAGGCAACAGAAAAATCACCGTTTTCATTTTTAGTTCTTGCGCTTCGAATAAAAGCATCGACGAAACCGAAAGCGGGAGGTTTTTGAAGGCACACTAGGGCCAAACGGAGACTAAGACTCAGCTCAATGTGTAAAGATGAGGCTTTCTGAGAAAAAAGAAATTTGATTTGACCATGGTTCCGACTTCCAAAGAGCTTACGAATCCGGCCTACAAAGGATTTCGAAGAATATCCTGAGTTATGAGCCGGCCACCTGGAGACAGCCAATCCCCGCTTTCTTCCGTAGTCTCCAACGCGACAAGCACCGATTAGAGGCCTTCACCGCCGCATCCCCCACATTTGTCTGAAATATCCAAATCCCGCGTTCCCACTCCCTTCCGGAACCACTGCTCCCCAGATCACCAGTGAATGACTTTGCAAAGGCGCATTTTCACTCCCCTTCCCTGCTTGGCACCCCAGAAGCGATAAGCCACAAGTCAGGGCTGGTAAAGGCGGGTCGACTAAACTCGTGCAGCCTCGGTTAAGCAGAGAAACTCGGAGGGTCCTTCCTTACCTGAAAGTAGTCAGCGAAAAGCTGTACCCGCGCTCCGCCATCTTTACTCCGAGGGCCAAAGCACACAGCACACATGCGCACAATGACCGATTTCTTTTCCGCTTCCCCGCCACGCGCCTTCTTTAAGCGCTCTGATTGGAAAAAAGAGTCAGAGCCGCTCCAGATGCATGCTGGGCATTGTAGTTCTAGAAGTGTGGTAGCGCCGATTCTCATTCTAAGCGCATGCTCCAGGTGGAAGTGAAACCAGCAACCCCGTGGGAGCGCGCGTTTAGCTGCAAAGATGGCGTCCTCCTTGCTGGTGCTGGTGGTTCAACCGTGGTCAGGAGTCCGGGAACTGCTCCGGAAAAGTTGGGGGCGTTTGCAGCGGAAACTTCAGCACAGAGAACCAAGCTTTCCCCGTCCTCCGTGGGGTAGGTGAAGAAGGTCATCGTAGGTAGAGCTCAGCTTAGTGGACACATACTGTGTAGCCTTCTGATTTGCTGTCAAGTTTAGGCTTCCTGCACTTTCACTACTTTGGAAGCAAATGTCAACTATTTTTGCTCTCCCCTTCTCAGCATAAAAGAAAAAAAAAAGTCTCCTGTCCTTTTTGTACAGGGGCGCCACTGCCGGCATCTTCGTTCCTTTCCAGTCCTCCTCCCTGAAGTGGTTTGTCATCCTTTGTGGTGTTTGCACTCTATTCAGCTGAGTACTAATCCCCTTGTTTCTTCCAGGAGCTAATTGTAATGGAAGTGTTAGATGTTAAAATTGTCCTTGCTTTGACAATTACTGTCTACTCCATTTCTATTCCTGGTATCTAGTCAAAGAACCGATTATGTGCCACATAGGGTGCTATGTAAGCTTTATAAAATTGTTTCGTGAGGTAATCTCTACAGAAATCCCAGTAGGTATTTACCCTTTCAAACTGAAGAGGTAAGCTCGGAAGGTTTCAAGTTCACAGGGACCATCCAGAACCTGTGTTGTTACCCACTGACTGTGCTTAACTACTTTTAAATAAGTATATTTAAATGTAGTCATATATTTTACTACTATTTTAAAGTAGTTGTATATTTTTATGAGTTACAAAAATCAAAGGAAATACTGGCAAACCTGAGAAACAGCAAGGAAAAAGTAAAGAAAGCCTTTTGGTTTTGTAAACCATTTAGAAAAACAAAAGTGAAACATTGATAGTCTTACAAATGCATGAATATCGTAAAAAGAGGGAGAGTTAGTTCTTTTCTTTAGTGAACAAATAGGAATCAAGATTTAAGTATATGAAGAATTAAGTGATATAAAGGCCCACCAGGTTATATCACAAAAGAGCTGACTCAATTTGAATTTTTTTTAATAAGGGGGGCAAATACCTAATAATCTCAGTGCAGAGGGAAGGAAAAAAGTACATTTTGGGAATCTCCAGCTTAGATTTACTTGTTAAGTAATTAGGGACTACCCACCAAGTACATTCTGTACCTCTTAGACTGTTGTGTTTACTAGTACCCTCAGTTCCATATATCATAATGTGAGAAATTCTTGGTAGAATTTCACTGATGCATTTCAATATTCTATTTGTGTTTTTTAAAATTGATTTTTATATGAGCTGTAGTCTATCTAATAGCTAAGGTTCCAAATGTCTATTGACTGTAATATTCTAAGTGACTTATTTATATGTATGTTGATATATCACTATTGATTGTTAAAAATAATGTCTCTATTCTTTTAGAAGCCAGAAACCAATTTTGTATTTCCATGCTTTATTTTGTAGGCCCAGCATTAGCAATCCAAGGTCCAGCTATATTTACAGAACCAGCCAATGATACCAGTGGAAGTGAGGTGATTTCCAGTCTTTCAGATACTATCTTTTGGATGGCAGCTCCCAAAAACAGACGCAGCATTGAAGTTAACAGGTGTAGGAGAAGAAACCCACAGAAGCTTATTAGAATTAAGGTAATAAGTAGGTTTTTATTGGTGTGCTTTTTCTCATGACTACCTCTTTGTATATTTATATTGTCTGTGGGTAAATTATTCTCAGTTTTTTTGTCTCCTTTCCTCTGGCCTACATAAAAGACAGTGTTTTTCTTATGTATACATATCTACTGTTCTGTCACTTAAATATTACTTAAATATTAGAAACACAGTCAAAGGAGGAATTTTGAGTCTGGACAGACAACTGGGTTGCAAAGAGCCTGCTTGACTTTTGAATTGTGAACAGTGCCAGTTGACGTATGTGAATATGAATCACATCTTAACTGTGGCAGAGTTTAAAATTAAAAAGAAGCAGTAGTTGTGTTATATTTGGTTTTACTAAACCTTACACACTTATTCTATTCTTATGCTTTACTGTGTCAATAAAATGCTGTAAAGGAAAATCTACAGATAAGTAATAAAAATAGCAAACATACATTAAATGTTAATGATGTAGCTAAGTGCTTTGTGTAAATTCTCTCAATAGCCCTCCAAAATAAATGCTGTTTAATTTTTAGAATGAAGAAATAGGCAAAAGGATTAGCCTGTGGTCACAAGCTATTAAGTGGTAGAGCTAGAATATGAGCTCTTGCAGTCTGATTCTTGAGTTCACATTTTCCTATTGAAGCTTTAATTTGTGTGTTCCTAGTCTCAAATAATTTCAGAGTCCTTTATTCCCTTTCTTCCTCCATACCTACACTCTCTATATTTACCTAGTAAAGAAAAACTTACAGTATTTATTACTTTGCTCTATTCGTTATTTATTACTTTGCTCTATTCGTTTACGGCTTTAATAGCTATGATTTACTTTATGACATTCCATAGTAGCATCTCTGTGCAGATGAACCCCAAGAGCAGAGAATTGACTTTCCTGACTTCCATGCTCATTTTTAAACCAAATCCTTAGAACTTAAGCCAAAGGTATTACTGAGTTACAGTTGGGACTGGACTTAAAATACTTTATTGAGAAAACAGTTGATCCAGTTTCATTGAAAGAGTTAAGATTTTAGGAATATGGTCTTTCTGTGATCTATTACATAACTTCCCTGACTTCATTTATTGTGAGGGGGGAAAAATACTCTTGAGTACATTCATTTTCTTTATTGAATTGTTTTCTGCTGTATAAAATACATTATATTGGGTACTTTCATCAGGAAAAATAGCACCAGCTAACTGTGGGTATCCTGTGTACTTCCACTTAGACATGCAAGTAGTGGGATAAAATAAGTTAATGAGGAGCAGAATAGGCCGACTGACAAAGTACACTGCTGAGGTCAGTGGGCGGGTAAGGAGAGGTCTGCTGCGCCATGTGGTCACCTCTGGGGTAGGGATCGAACTCATGCTGAAGTGGCTTTAAATTGATGCTGTGCTTTAACCCACTGCGCCACCAGGAAGGGCCTTAGGCAAGTAATTTTTAAGTTTCCTTGTTCCTTTCAGAAAAATACAATTTTTTGTCACCTACTTCACAGATGTTTGTAAATTAACTTCTTGAAGTGTTTAGAATTTTTTCTGATGCCCCCGTTTTCTCAATATTTGAAATCTACTTCTAGAACACATTGAACAGATTATAATTATCCTATTAAAATTGGATATACATGATTAGATAACATACAAAATACCAAAATACCCTCAAATTGTAAAAATATTGGAAAGTTTTAGATCAAGGATTAGTTGTTCATTTATAAAAAGAAAAATTGTTATTACGTATGCCTTGTACAGGACTTTGAATTACTGTGATCAATCAGGAGAAGCGAACTTCTAAATGTATTTATCTTTTACTCAGGATAGATCAATTTCTTGGTATTTTGTTTAAGATGCTGTTTGAGTAGGTCTCTCTGTTGTATTTAAGTAGGTCAGTATTTGAGACTGATGGACTTGTTAAGATACTGAGTATTTGAAATGTGAGACTAGAATACCAGTTTACATAATTGACTGTGTGTTTAAATAAAAATGTGCCAGAATCAAAGTCAGTAGACCTGAATTGTAGTCCCAGTTTTTCTGCTAATTCAGATTTTAATGCTTGCTTTTTTTTTCAGGTTCCATATTAAAGTGAGATTGAACTAGGTGTTATATGATCTACTGTTGATCTTATCCAAAATGCAAAGAAGCAATATATTATAACCTTATGCAGCATGAATAGTACAAGTGTTCAGAGTTAAATATCACTTGTATCAGTGATTTTTTGTACACTATTTTCCCTCTTGTTAAAATGTATTCTTGTTTTTTATAGAATAATATAGATGTTTGTCCTGAATGTGGACACCTGAAACAGAAGCATGTCCTTTGTGGCTACTGCTATGAAAAGGTATGCAAGGAGACTGCAGAAATCAGAAGACAGATAGGGAAACAAGAAGGGGGGCCTTTTAAGGCTCCTACTGTAGAGACTATGGTGTTGTACACAGGAGAGACACCAACTGAAGAAGATCAGCGCAAGAGGATCATTGAACGAGACAGGATGCGACCATCCTGGTTCACACAGAACTCATAGCAAAGATGTATGAAAGAGCAATTTCTCATAAAACATTTCTTCTGAAAGAAGAAGGTTCTTTTATGTTCTGTTGCTTGTTTTTAAATCATCATTATAGTTCAAAGCAGTCTTTACAGCAGCTAGTTTCGTATGGGTAATTTTACGACTGTCTCATTAGTAAGCTCTGTATTTCTATAACAAAGTTTTAAGTAAACAACTTCCACTGCAGAAAAATAAAACAATTTAAAATTCATTGTGTGTTTTTGCCTTCGGTTTTGTTTGTTTGCCTTGTTTTTTTTTAAGATGTATTTATTTATGCTTACAGAACTTGGATATAGGCCAGAGGTGTGGGGGG